GGCACATTTTTGTCTAAATGTGCAGACGGAAACTTCGAATGACCCAAACAAATATAGCTAGTGATCCAAATCAAGTAGATTTTCGATTAGCACTTTGTATACAGTGTTAATATCATTTGACACAGTGAAGGCGTGAAAATCACGTTTCACCGAACATGCCGAAGGCAGTCACTTAGTATTTCTAAGAAGTTTTAATATTTTTCCTATCATTTCTAGATCTGATTTTTGCATTTCTGCAGAAAAATAAATAAATAGTGGGAATATATACTTTAAATGATTAAGTTTTAAATTAAGTTTAAACATGTTCCTAATACTACTGTCGGCACAAGTGTGTTCTAAAATACTATTGTTTAATGACTGTTTGATGTTGGTTTTCAGACTGATTTTCTTGTGGTACAGTTTACATTACTTACGTATTAGTTAATACTGAAAATACTCACTAAGAATCTTATTTTATAGGAAAGACACGGGGGTTGCCGTGCATGAAGCTTTTGAGCACTGCCCTTTTTAAAATTTAATATGTTAGCATCGTTCTACATACATGTAGGTACTTCTAGAAATTTCATGAATAAAGTAAAAGCTAAATTACAATTATAGAAATAAAAAAAACATAGATAGTTTTTGCAATGAAATAATTATTCTTCAAACACGATATCTCCGTTATTTAATCAATTAACGTGTAAATCCTTACCATAAAAAAGTCCTTTCAATTCGGAATTCCAAATGACAATGAAGACTGAACGATATGTGTACGGTGAACGCAAGGTGAATGCAAAGTAAGCGGAACAAAGAGCGAACGGTGAACGCGAGCACACGGTGAACGGTTAACGCGAAACTGTGAACGGAGAGCAAACGGTGAACGCACGCTGAACGAACGGTGAACGAACGCTTAGAACATTTCAGGGACTGTACCATCTTGTCCTTAATAACCTTAGCGGTATCCTTCAAAAGAACCTACCAATTCTCCATTCAAACAAACGAATATCAGAGGTCTTTAAGCAACCCCTCATTGGCTGCATACAAGGAACCTAAAGGATATGGTAAAAAGGACCAGACTGGACAACCCATTACCTAACAGGGGCTTTAATAAAACTTACTCTGACAAAATATGTCTTCTTTGTAAGTAGAGCACTAACACAGACAGTTTTAAAAGCCCTGTTACAGGCCGCAGCTACGAAATACTAGGGAATTTGTCATGTCATACTGTCAACTGCATTTACCTCATCAGTTGCAAAGTTTGCTCCGAACAGTATATTTGTGAAACAGGAGTTCCCTGCAGGAGAGTCAATAACCACCGGCCGCTCGACCATTTGGACCAAAAACTCAATGAACCCGTTGGGGAATATTTCAACCTTGAGAGTGACAAATGGGAGGACATGACAGTAGTAGTTACTGATCAGAACCAAAGATTGACAGACGCGCAGAGAAAAAGCAAAGAAAAGTTTGGGATGCAAAGATTCAAGTCATTCTGCCCTAACGGTAATAAAACTTAATGACTTCACCAGAATGAACGTAAATTAGATCCAATTCCTGAGGAAACTTTGCAACAAATGAGATAAATGCCGTTGTCAGTATGTCAGGACAAATTCCCCAGTATTTTGTAGCTGCGGCCTGTACCAGGGCTGTTTAAACTGTCTGTGCCAGTGCTTACAAAGAAGACAATTTCTGTCAGAGAAAGTTTAAAAGCCCCTGTTAGGTAATGGGTTGTCATGTCTGGTTCTTACTACCATGTCCTTTAGGTTCCTAGGGCGTCTGTATGAGCCAATGGGGAGACCTCTGCCATTCGTTTGTATGAATAGAGAATTAGTAGGTTCTTTTGAAGGAGACCGCTTAGGTTCTTAAGGACGGGATGGTATGTGTTACCAGAGGGACCCTACCGCTATTGTCTTTCTCCTTGTAGCGTAATAGTTTTACCTTTCATATCCCGCCATCTCATTAATAGCTGTTTGTACGTTGCGGGCATTGTAGCCTATTTTGCATAAGTGGGACTTACGCAGACCACGTTGCTCCTGATATAAGCCAGGGGACAAACAGATGCGTCGAATTCTGGTGGCTAGACCCTTAGGCAATCCCTTATATGTGTGTTGGGGATGATAGCTAGTGGACATAAGATATAGGTGGGAGTCTGTGGTTTTGTGTGGAGACTGAATTCGATTTCACCATCAATCAGGGTAAATGTGGTATCTAGGAATACTTTTTTTCGAATAAGATACGTCTACTGTAAATTTGACCCACTGATGAAAGGTGTTTGCATACGTAATGAATGACTCGAGGCTCTCGCAACATTCAACCTATTTCTTTTCTATATCGTCAATGAAACGCAAACAGCTATTGGGCCTAAATGGTGCTTGAAGTAACAGGGTGCGTTCCATTCTGCCCATGAAGGAATTGGCATAAGATGTGTCAATTTTCGTACCCATACTAGTGCCATTAACCTGCAGGTAATGTTCAAAATTACATGTAAACATGAAGTTGTTGAACTTGAAAACATGTTCAAGGAGCTTGGCAAGGGACTCGGTAAAAGGAATTTCTATGGATCTACTATCCCAGACTATTCTACAAGATTCGATACCCTCATCGTGCGGAAAAGGTTGTGCTAATTGTTTTCGGTTTTTCCTTTTCCTTTGTTCTTATGACTTTTTAACTATATTCTTTGTCCTGAAGAAGGGACAGGGCGTCCCGAAAAATTGACAGTTTTTATTGTTCGTGTAGTTGGTAATTTTTAGTGCTTTATATATATTTATATAATTCCAATTCAAATCCATCCGTTACTTTGTATCTACTTGGTAAATCCGACATTTATGATTTACAGTGATGCTGGTTTTTTTAGTGCTTTATATATAACTGCGTAAACACTTAAAGAAATCATAAATCATTCTCAATTTGAGTTTCAAGGGTATTTAAATACTACGCAATGCAAAGTTTATCGGAATTATCTCAATAGATAGGGATATCAAGGTAGTATACAGATAAAACGAGGTAATATATACATGTTTCAACGACAGAGGGAGGGTATTTGTAGATTTAGAGAATAATTGAATGTAAGTAGCTTAACTAAATGAATAGAGCTCATAATACTAATGCACTTTTGTTGTGATAGTTTCCATATAAATGTACGTACTTTCAAACATGCAAATATAATGTTTTGTTATTCATTTTTCAAATATAATTTTTACAGATAGAAAGGCACGTGCATGTATATTATCGCCTCTCTTCGCTTTTATCACATTGTCTCTTGCCCCGTGGGGATTTGGGTTAGAATAGGTCCTCAGTACCCCTTGCTTGTCGTAAAAGGCGACTTAATGGGGCGGTCCTTCGGATTAGACCGTATAAACCGAGGCCCCGTGTCACAGCAGATAAAGATCCCTCCCTGCTCAAAGGCCTTGAGTGTCGAGCATAGGCCTAAATTTGCAGCCCTTCACCGGCAATGGTGTCGTCTCCATATCAGTGAAATATTCTGGAGAGGGACGTTAAACAATATTCATATAATCAATCAATCAATCAATCATATTGTCTCTCAAAATTTCTTAAAGATCTTAAAGAGAATGCTTGTTTATGTTTATTTAGTTGTCGCCTTAAGGTGTTTGTAAAAGGAAACTGATTCTAAACCTGTGAAATATGTACTACCTTAAACAAGATATGAGTGATACACATGTATACGAGGGTTGTCCCGTAAAATCGTAGACAAGTTGTCTAGTGTGAGAAATAAACATCACTGCGTTCTGAAAGTTTCACTACTATTTAGTAAATATTTTAGTAATATACACAGCAAATTTCAGATAAATATATGCATAAATAGACAGATTTTATGCCATGTATTGCATCACCTTACGGCGCATGGATTATAACGTCAAAGGGTCTAAAACAGCGTCACGTTTTATCTTTGCTGAAAATGAAGTTGAATGAGTCCGATTAAAATTTAGGAATTTCATTAATACACATTCTTTAGTCTCCATAAACAGCTGAAGAACCAATTGGTACCCGATCATACGAAGGTCATACGATCTTCTGAAGATTCATTAGTAAGTTACGGACAATATTCTCAACATCATTCAACTAATAGAAAATCTCATATCGGCGGTCTACTCAGACTACTGTGACAGCGTCTTTTGCTATTACATTAGGAGTTTGTCCGTATGTTTTGTACTCCCCAGGGACTCGATAAAAAACTTCGCTAAGAAAACCCCTATTTCATTTTTATACTTAAGGTATGCTGATATTTTTATAATCTTTTTTTTTCTATGGTCATATCAAGTCTTTAAAGGTGTCATTACAACATCGAAATAAAACTGAACTGTTCTTCGGTGCTCCGTAACGTCATAAAACGTCACTATTTTCGTGTGTTGTGTTAACCACTTTCCCATTTCAAATGCTCGAGAAACTGCCAAAAATCAAGCAAATGCCTTAAAACTCTTACAAGGACTACAAAATTGACTGGGAATTGCATTAGTATAATTTTAATCCAAATCTGACGTATTTAAAACTTTTATTTTGAATTCAAACTTGTGTATTCTTTAATAAAACCTTGGATTTTTGACCGTGCGCCGTAGGACTATACCTCGTGCACATTCAAGCATAATAAAATCTTTATTTTTGCCTATATTTTATCAATAAGATTATCAGGCACTTAGATATGATAAATAAACATTTACTGAAATTTTCAGCTCAGTGCGCCCATTACTTTTCGAGAAAAACGTTTTGTCCACGATTTTAACGGACAACCCTCGTACTTAGAGAAATTTTATTGTAATGAATTTCCTGAAGGTATTGCAGATTGAAAAAAAGAACAGCTATTAGCAAGTCCAGTTTAAAAGTGTTTAGTTGGTGAGAATCATGAAAATGCATAGGTTTCTTTGAAGAAGAAAAAGTAAGAAAAGTAATATAAAAAATTAGAAAATACAGAATTTACCATGCATAGATAAAATACTTTTCGTTCCAATTGCATTTAATTTTGTGCTCATTTTTTCCTATATTTCATGTAATAAAATTTGGTTAAAAGAGAAATTCAAAAGATGAAGTTTGGATCCTTTGGTTACATTGTGGACTCCTGTCCCGGTAACAAGACAGAGTACACAGACTCGGCTACCAGACTGGGGTGTGGTGTGGATGAGAATAGGCGGAGTCAGTACGTCTGTGTTCCCAATAACGAGAGGTCAAGTCTGGTGGAGTTCTGTTATAAATCAACTGTTGGATTTTATGAAAAGGGTATTTATCTTGCATATACATTATTATTAATTTGAGAAAAATGCAAATAGAATACATGTATATTATTTTTCTTACCTTCATGCAGGAAACTGTATAGAGGTTTACGAAAGTGGAAATTTGGATCAAACCAGCTGTCTCCGTTTCAAATTTGGATGCCCTGATAACCATTTTTTTCTTTCTGACCTGTACAAATGTGAGTTTCAAATTTACATGTATCAGTATTAACACCAAATTTTAAACAAAATACATTACCTCACTTTCGGGCCAACAGCTTATACGTTTGCAATCTAAGATTATACTTTTGAAATAAATAATTCAATGTTCAAAATGCTTTAATGACGACCTATTTAAAAAAAGCGGGGGATTGTAAATAAATATGGGAACAAGTAAGGTCAAACTAGAAAAAAAAAATTTAATTTCCTTTTCAAGTTTCAAGTTGTACTACGTCTGTTCGATTCTTTTCTTTAAAGGACTGATTCAGGATTATAGTTTCTTTAGCCATACATGTATGTAAATTTGCAACAAATTTTCACGTTTTCTCTCAGCGACATCAGTTTTTCGTCAAACTAAAAAAAAAAGATTGCGAATGAAAGTGAGGTTTCCCCGCTTGCCTTCAAGTTTATTTTCAAAAGTAAACAAATTCAAATAATTTTTCACATTTTATGCGCCGGAATATATTTGTTTAATTCATTCGGGTCAAACATAAGAAAAATATATAAGAAACATTTATGCAAATACGCAGACTGATGATAGTTTTGCTTCGTTTGATATTGTAAAAAACAAAATGAAGAGAGTTTCAATTGAAAACTGTCATTTATTTTGATTTAAGAAGTGACGAGATAAATCAACCAAAAATACTAATTAAACAAAGTGACAAGCATTACACAATCATAAAAAAAAAACATGTGTATAAGATTAACAATTACATTTTTAAGCCAAGTATCATAGGTGGAGCATAAACAATCGGCATCACAGTTCTTACATGTAAACATCCGAAATAGTATCGCAATTATTAATATTTTATCTACTCACAAAATTTAAAAAATGATTTCGATCGTACAATTAATTTATCTCATCAAACATGGCAAAAAAAGTAAAAGTGGAAAGCTTTTGGATGGGATAGTTGGGAAAAAATCAAGATGTTTGGCAAATGTATGTTGACAATGCAATGCACGCTTGAAAAATGAAGACCTGTGCAAAAATGCGGAATATGAACACTTGCTGATTATCAGATTACAGGAATGTAAACTGTACGAGCAGAGAAATCAGAGTTGTTCTTCTTGCTATGTCAGAAGTTTTACATAAATTAATTAAATGTTGTATATTAAGATTTTAATCATTTCCAAAACTATTTAGAATATGATAGTGCTTGACAGTCCGTTTTCAAAGGAAAAAATCGTCTATCCTTCCTATTTTAAGAGCTGGCGTAAGGGATAATTTACTATTCACCACTGGTGTTATAACTTTAATCAATTACCGTTGAACAGTTCTTTGTAATAAACAAAGTTTTTAAAAGCAGGTTGCCATTTATACATGTATGAAGCTAAAAGTGTGTAAAACTAAGACGGGAAGCGAGAGTTTGCGTGCCTACAGTTCTTGCATGAACATTGCAAAAAAATTTGATTTTTCCTGTGAAAAAGAATACATATTATCAATAAGATAAATGGATCATTTTGCTAAATTTTATGCAGTTCCAGATTGCCATGGAATAAATCTTGAGGACAGATGCTTTTATGCAGATCCGACATGCCCAAACGTCACGTAAGTAAGCGTATGCAAGAGAGAAAGGGAAGAAGAGGGAGATGGAAAAAAGAACGTAATAACAAAAAATGTTCATAGTTACATAATAAGTGCGCAGGTATGTCAAGGTTACAACCAAAAATTTGCTTGCCTGTATGATATGACGTCATAGTAAGCTATATGACGTGAAGTTTTAGACATAACAATTTCTTAAAATTGATATCTAAGATTGATTTGAGGTCGCAAATTGGATCAAAATATGCAGAGGCATAATATAAACGGAATTTTGTCCTTTCTGGGTCTCTGTTTTTATCACAGGGGTTAAATACCAAACCCATGAAGTCATATCTGTTGATCATGCACTAGCAGAGTTAAAGTGAAACGTAACGAGAATTCATGTAAACAAACACAAGAAATCGGAGTTTAAAAGCATTTGGAATGAATATCATGTGTGATTCATGTGGGAATAAGGCTTATGAATAACGTATACTTATATAATTCTACAACTTCGTAAAATCGAAGCAGTGAAGGTGTTTACTTGCCGATCAGCCCTTCCGCTGTCGTTCGTAACAAAAAAAGATGCAAAAGTTCAACGCCGCATACTTTGAAACATAATTTTTGTTTCTATCTAAAGTTCTTATTCTATTGTTATGGAAAGTACTGCTAGAATCGTATGGTTTACGGGAATTGGTGCAATATTTTCGATGTTATGAACAAAATGTAAAATTTTAGGAAGGTTTCGTCCAAAAGTGTTAAATAATTATTTCTGTGATAGGACAGTAGGATTCTAGCAGCACTTTTCATGGTACAGAGATGTTTTACATAATTATTATTACAGATTAAAATTAATTATACCCGGGGTAGTGTTGAACTTTTCACTTTTTCATTAAGGCATACTTTCTAATTATAGATGTCACGTGGTGAAACCGTGATGAAGTGCTTCCTGTAGTTTAAGTTCCATTGAAGTCTAAAGAATGCAGGATTATAGCAAAAGATTTATTATTGACTTTTCCGATTTGGTAGTGTTACATAAATATAAAAAAGCGTTAATTCGCCGAATTCCGATCCATGTGCTGCCTTAACAAACCCACGAATTTTACACAATCTAAACCTTGAGGATATTGCCAAATAAAAGATTAAGGCAGGATTCTCCATCATTTGAAATTTAACTGCGGGGCAAGAATTGCGCAAAGTACTGATATTCGGGGTCATTCGCGACCAATTCGCGAAGGAATCACAAAAAAAAAAATTAAAAACACAGAGCAAATAGGAATGTATATTCCAATACAAAGAGCTTTTTTCGGCAAAATGTTTGATGAATTTAAGAATAATAATTTTAAAAATGACATTGCTTTAATATAGTATAGAACAAAAATTAAATAATTTCCATAATATATAAATTCTGAATGAGACCCCCTCTCCCTTCCTAAACACACATAAGAAGAAGGATATGGATATAACGAAGAGCATTCAGTCTAAAAGTCCATAAAACAATACAAAATAAGAGCAGAGCAAACACGGACCCCCGAAACATCAGAGGTGAAATCAGGGGCCATGGAGGAGTGCGCATTTCGTACTCGCACACTCATGACTCTGACAGTTGTTTAAAAATGCTTAGGGGCGGTGTCAAAATTTGATTTATTTAATAATTGGTTTTACATGTTTTTATATATTTTGTTTTTATATTTTAAAAACTAACAAAAACACCGTTTCCTGGATAAAAAAAAAAAAACCAACGATAGGGCATTTTGAAATGTAAAGTTTTACATCGATATGCATATCTAATGGTGATAATATATATTAAATGTTTAATTATCATAATATTATATGAAATTTATTTATAATTATATACATTTTTTTAAATTCATTTAAAAGCACATATTTAAAATTATGAAAGTAGAATTTACTTTGTTTTCCCTATGTTTTCACCAGCATCTAACCCATAGAAAATAGTTGATAAATCTCATTTTCAATAACTCAATATTCATTAAGCATACTAGTATACAATGGTTATGTACTAGTATCAGCATTCACCTTGAAATTTTTTTGATTTGATGTAATATATGACGTAACAATTTTTAAATTTAATTTCTTTATTATATATTCATTGTTTAAGATGTAGGTGTAATGATGATTAAGCACTTAATCGCTTGATTCCGATTCGGAATCAACTCCTAACTGTTTCAGGATTTTAGGCATCTTTTTTGTAATAAATTTATTATATTTCATGTGATTTTCTGTAATTAAAGTCATAATAAGAGTTTTTTATGCTTTCTTCGGCCGGTCGTCTTTCTTTTCCTCTTCGTCTTTCTTTTCCTCTACCCCCCCCCCCTTTTTCTTCGTCATCTTCTAGCTCCAGCATTCTCTCTCGCTTTCTGTTTACATGGGCGTATGAAGTTCCCGGTTTTTCTGTTTCTCCTTTTTCCTTTGGCGTCTCAGAGGACCCAGGGTCCGGCTCCACCGTTTCTTGATGGCGGGCTTCCAGCCTGCGCACTCTCTCAACTTTCACTCTACAGAAAAAATAATCGCATTTATTTTAAAAATTAATTATTTTTTGAATATCTTTTAAACATAAATTTTGTCTACACAAAATATGTTATTGTCAGATTTTTCTCTCATGAATCCTGGTTATTTAGGCTTGAAAGTTTATCAGTTACAAAATCTTTATTTTTTTCTTTCAGATATTAATTCATTTAAGAGTGTGAGGGTGAATGTGAGGGATTGTTGGTGTGTTTTATTTTACCGAATATCATTGTCGTCATTTGGCTATTTGTCAGCAATAAGTTTCCTCAATTTTCCACCCAGTCTGTCCCTCAGTTTTTTTAAGGACCCCTCTTTGCACAGCCATTGGGTTTCCTGAGGTAATTTTGTCGCATTCTCCTTTAGCTCATCTATTATATCCGCCCAAATACAGGGATGATGTTGATATGCTCTTAGCAGCATCAACGTTTCTTCTTTCCCAATGGGAATAATCTTTTTGTTTCCGATTAAAGTCGTACCTGTAAAGAAATAGAAATACACGAAAAACCTTACCTTGTGCCATTTTCTTATCGAGAATTCGAACACTACTTTCACGTGAAAATGATTCGACAAACCAGTCTATATATAAGAAGCGAATTACTACACCGTGCAGCCACGTAACATCGTTTTTGAAAGTGGGAGCCAGCCAGAGTATTTTTTTTTTATTAATCAGAAAAACTTGACAAGAAAAAAAAAAGATGCTTAAGTCAAAAATCCTGTTTTATTTTTGTTTTTGTTTTTTTATTCAATGCAAACACTTCTTTCAGTATAGGCCTATACCCATTTTTTTTTACATACAATACATTTTTCTTATATCACAAATGTGGGGGGGGGGGGGGGGGGGGGGGGCGGATTAAATTGGGGAAAAGAGGGAATGCAACCCCCCCCCTGGCTCCCTGTTGCTACATGTCTGCCGTGTCCCCCTCTATTCTA